TGTAGGGTTTAAAAACAAAACTTACAACAGCTTACATTGCAATTTTTCCTTTTAAAACAGATGAGTTGTGTACAAGGGATGCTAAATACTTTATATTAGGGAGGAAAAAACCTACTAGAACCAACTTATTCATCATTTTCATCTTTCTCCTCTTCCTTCTTTTTACTGCATCTTTCAGCGTTGACAACTCCCATTTTGGCCTCAACAGGCTTCATTTCACCCTGCAGTCAGCAACAGCGTTTTTCAAATTTCCTGTAGCTGGCAGCCTTCTCAGCAGGCTGCTTGTCGCCTTGTTTCCCGCCACGGTGTTACTCCACCTCTCTCCCACTTCCTTGGCGACACCACCAACCGGTAGGCCAGAGTGTTCTGTGATTTGGGACAACACTCAGAAGAAAACTATCAAAAAGCCTAAGGCGGCATCGTGGGTGCACTGGAGTTCCTTGTTTCCCCTTGGGGGGAGGTGAATTGTCACTTAGCTTTTACAACGGGCTATGAGCACCTCTGCTATGGTTCAGACTCTCCTCCTCTTTGGCAGCCATGATCTTCCACCTCTCTGAGCACTTCTTAGAAAATACTGAGAAGATGACCAAAGCATCTAGATATTTCTTCCTATGCTCCTCCCTGCAAGTTTGCACAAATAATGCAGATGCCCGGACTAGGATGCTTTCAAGTGCCTAACCCCAGGGCACCCCTGTCTGCTGGTGCATCCCACAGAGAGGTGTGTCACCAGGAGTCTGGTGTGGCGTGCTCCTTTGATGCCCACTGCCTGGGCCACCGCCAGCCCTTGCCTCAGAGCAGCTGCCTGCCCCTAGCTTGTGTCCTTGGTCTCCCTGCTAACTATGCTCCTCAATCACACTGAAGACCCCTGTTTTTCTGTTCCCCTGCCCACCAGAGCAACCATTCCCTGTCGCCAGCCCTGAGCCTCCCCACGCAATCCAGCCCAGGAAGCCCCACATCTGGAAGTCCTAAGCAGACCACACCTTGGCAGCGGAACAGCCAGGCAGGCAGACGCATGCTGGACGGGAGGAGAAGTGTTCCCATCCGCCAGCCCCTCCTCAATGCAAAGGAAGAACCGACACAGACCATGAAAGAATGCATGCCTTCAGGCCCCCTCTCCTTACTGCCGTGTATGTCTGTGTTGCCAAGGGTGGCCACAGGCCAGGGCCTCCTCAGACAGGTCCTGAGGAAACACACCCTCTGGGAGGAGGAAGGGGCGTTAAACACTGCCAGCGTCTCTGAAACACAGGCTTCTCCACTCTCCTCTTGAGATCTTCTTTGAGTGTCTCTGAATCAGTGAAGGGCTTACTGTGGTAGAAATAAAGAGCACACATTCAGGCTGGCTATGCAGAACTTGCTGTGGCAAGGGAGTCAGCCATGGTGTGCGGTAGGCAGAGATGCAAAGGCAGAGGAGTGGACATCTTCACAGTGGCGCGGGGAGGGAGCACTTCACTCTGATTAGAGGCTGCTGGCAGGGGGACGTTGGTGAGGGGCTAACTAGAAGCAAGAAAACTTACATTTAGGGACGATATTTGACTTTCTCTGGCTGACCTTGGGTTGGACATGGAGGCAAAAAAAAAGTGCCCCAGAAGCACCGCTGACCAGATACTGACAGTTCTGGTTGCTGCAGAGTGCGAGAGTTGCATCCATCGTCCTATGTATGTGCAATCCCATGTGTGACTGGTACTTCTGTAATTTCAGGCTCTCGCTAGAGATCTTGTTTCATCAACCACCAATCCAGGAATGACCTTAATGCTTCCCTTTCTCCTACTCCAATCCATACCATCATCAAAATACACACGTCCCTGGGTATTTCTCAAGTCATTAGCTTCTTTCCATCCCCAGCGTGAGGCCAACAAGCTATTGTCAACTTTCATCTGATCTACTTAAGAGCCTCCTAACTTGATCTGCTTATCTCTACTGCCCCTCTTCAACTTACTTATCCAAGTCAATGCCCGGATTATAGCATCCTCAATGATGCTTAGATTCTATCAACGATTCCCACTGGTTTTAGCATAAAGACTATGATTTGTACCATGGCGTCCAGAGCCCAGCACAGCTTCCACCTTTCTGTCTTTTTGTGCACCATGCAAACTGCACAGAGACCTTGCTGGAAGACTGTGGCAGCCCCTGAGTGAAAGAAATAGGTGAAAAGCCAGGATAGAAGCCAGAGCAGCTCTGGGACCAGGTAATAGAACAAACGAAAGGCCAATTAGTGCAGTTCTGCTGGGAAAGATCAGCTCCGACTACACCCACTGCTTCAGTGACTCTACTTAAGGTCCAAAGTCCAGAGGGCAGTTTAGTGGATTTGGCAGTTATGAGTCACATGACTGTCCCTTGGCTGGGATGCCTTGATAAAAGTCCCAATGAAATTTTAAACAATAAAAAGAAATTAATACCCCCTTCAAACAAATTCACAGTTCTCACCAGGAAGAATGAATGGATGCAGGCTGGTCCCCAATTCAACCAGGGTCCACTGAATCCATGTTCTCTCTACCTACACTGCCTCTTGTTCCCTCTTTGGTCAGGTCAACCCTACTCATTAGGTTCCAGTCATTGAAGAAACCTCTCTTTACCTTGCCAAGGAAGTCAAGTACTCTGTTCTGTTACCGTTCAAAACAAGTCTTCACAGCACTTGCCACTGCTGTGACTGTAGCAGCATGTTGCATGTTTGAATTACATCCATCTTCTCCTGACTGACTAAATAGTTCACGAGAGCAGAAATCATATCTGCCTGTTCACCATGTTACCTCCAGTGCCCAGCACAGTGCCTGAAGAAATAAAGACAGGCAATAAACATTCATTTAATATGTGAGTCATATGTAAGATATGCCATCCCTTCCATAGAAGGCTACAGCAGATGTATTTTTAAGCACATGTATGAACCTGCACTTTTATCAACTCATCCCTCATTATGTAATTTTTGTCATTTAATTTTTCCAACATTGCAGCAAAAACCCACTTAACACATAAAGAGACTGAGGCATAGGGAGTTAGGGAATTTCTTCTAATCACATAACTGGTCATTTAATCCATGGAGGATATAAATTTAAGTCTGTCTAATTGCAAACCTCAAGGTCAAAACTCCTATGCGGTATTGCTTCCCCATGACATTTGGCTATCTCCCTAATACAGAGCCCTTAGCAATAGAGTTCATTCATCTGTAAAACTGACTTTCAAATAAGTTCATTTTCATGTAAATCTAGCTATGTCATAATAGTTCACTTCACTGATAAAATACTGACCCACGGAAAAATAAATATTAATGAATTGACTAGGAGTTATGCATTCCAATCACCATGATTTTTTTCTGTCATTTTTGATAAATGACAATGAGTGTGAATGAAGGAATAGTGAGCTTGGAGGAGCCATGACCATCTAAGGTGACCTGCTCTCTGAGATTTCCCCATACATTATAAAAAGCATTTCCTTTTTCCAGAAGGGTTTCATTTAGTTATGTCCTCATAATGAGGGAAGATTAGCAGAGTTAACACAAAGAATGCCATCAATCCTCAGGCCTTATTGGACAAGAGGTGGGAACATGGATCTCACTGAGAAAAGTGAAACTGGCAAGTGTCAGGAGGTGTTTCTTCAAATTGATCACAGCAATGAGAGAGCCAAGATGCAAAGACAGTACTTGCCAGGGATGGTAAGGAAAACAAGGTAGACTATCATTTTTCTTTTATTGCAAGCTGGACTCCCCTAACTTGCTAAAAACATGATTATAGGTAACAGCATTCTATGGTCACAGTGTGTTCCTGCAGATTTCACATGTCTTAGGGGGTAAAGTGGGGGACAGGGATGAAAACTGACTATACCCAGAGTAGGGGACAAAACCATCTAACTGGTGTTTTAGACACTAATTAGTGTTTAACTTATACAGCCTTCTGTGTTAACGTGTAACAGGTTCTGCCAACTGGAGGATCCTTGGAGAACACTGTGCTTTCAAAGCAGCTGGCTTGACTTTAAAGACTTCTGGATCATAATATACAATACGCAGAGGAGCCCTGAAATGGGAGAAAAAGAGAAATCAATTTGAAAGAAGATGAACAGGAAAGGAAACTAACATTTCTCAAGCACCGGCACCGTGTGACAGGTTTTCACTAGCACGCCAGAAAACAGACATCACAGCCGGTTAGATGGATGAAGAGATGAAGGCTCAGAGAAGTGAAAAGAATGATCTGTGGCCACATTTAGATTCTGTATTTGTGAGATCCCAGAGAGTTTGTTCTTTCCAGACAAAGTAAATTCTAGAAATTTCTCAATAATTTGGCAATATTAAAACAAGCCAGATAACCCTCCTTTAAATTTTCATTCTTCAGCATTTTATCACAAAATTATAACTTTGTCACTGGGGTACAGATTGAGCACCCGATCTAATCCTGCTTTTCTCATTAGTTATTGAACAAAGAGTGAGTTTTATATCCTCAGATATTGAGCTTCATTTTATTAAAAGGGAAACACATTATAAAAATTTCTAAATATTGATTATATAAGAAGCAACATAGTTCCTGTGCCCTGAGCTCAAGACCTCTACACTTTTTTAGCGTCTCCTGATGTTGTTTCAAATAGGCATAGGTATTATCCCTTGAGGGTAATAAAATAAACTGGGATTCAGGAAAGTTAAGAGGTCTTCCAAAATAAATAAATAAATAAACAGGAATTAGAGGCAATATCTTCTTTGTTGAATGTTTTGAAGTAAATCATACATGTATCTAATACCAAAACATTGAAAAATTTTTCAAATTTACAAAAGCCTGTCTAGTGAAAAGTAAATCTCCTGCCCACCCTTGTTCTCTAGGCCAACAAAGGTAACCAGGGTTACTAGCTTCTTGCACTGCCCTGAAGTATCCAGGCATCTGCAGGAACATACATGGCAGGTCTGTATTTATCTTACAAACTGCAACGTACTATGAGCTTTGGTCTGCAACTAGTTTCACTTAACAACATATGTTATATATAGTCCCAGACCCAATCTTACAGTTATCTCTAAGATCTAAATTTCAGTGAAAAGCCAGTCTACAAACTCTAATTGTAGCCTTGGCATTATGGTCAGAAGACCACAAATCTGTAATAAGACATATCACAAGTGCGTGAGATTTTCTATTTTCTGTATTGCTACAGTTCTTTTCACTGACCTTGTTAGGTCAACTTTCCCCTCTCCCTAGCAATCTCAACCTTTCCCATCCCATTTTAACCCTAAGTGGCTTACCTTCTACTTGGATTAGCAAGTTCTTGAACCCTGTGAGATACTTTGGAATGCAGAGCAGCATGAGATACTGGCCAGTAGGGATCACGGGCAGGTAAAAAGTCTTGATGAAGAGGTTTCGCCTGAGCTAGAGTTATTACTCGAGGGCTAGGTTTGGCTAGCAAGGCAGCATGGGATATCTATAGCCAAAACAAAGAACACAAAAATATATTCAAATTTCACATTTCTCCATCTTTACATCTGTATTCCCATTTCTTCTTAATACAAAGCACACTGCTTGCTGGTCTTCCTGTCTTCATTCTCACCCCTGTACTATGCCAGCCATCAGTGGTACTTAACAAGGGAGAGAATAAGCAGAGAATAAGTGCTTTAAGTGGCTTACTTATATACCCATTTTTTTTTTAAAGATATATTTATTTATGCACACAGAGCTGGGATACAGGCCAGAGGTGCAGGGGCGATTCACCAGAGACAGAGTCGGCAGCAGAACAGGCTGACTGATGAAGTACACTGCTGAGGGGAGCAGCGGGCGGGTCAGGGGAGGTCTGCTGTGCCATGTGGGTCACCTTCGGGGCGGGGATGGAACTCATGCTGAGTGGCTTTAGCTTCTTAGTGCTGTGCTTTAACCCACTGTGCCACCAGGGAGGGTCCCATATATATCTATTTAACTGTAACAATTCAATGAGATAAACAATTTCTAAGTTGAAGTCTTATCATGTCACTTTCAGGATCTAAAACCTTGATGTGACTTCCTAATTTGCTAGAACAACATTTAGGCTCCTTATTGTGACCTGGAAGACTCTACATGGCCCTGTCGCTATCCCACACCTGACCTCCTTCTCCTCTTCCCTTCCCACCTTGGTCACTATGATTCTAGCATAACCAGTTCCCTCTGGTTCAGCTCTCCATACCAGAACCTTTGCACTTGCTGGTTCTTCTGCTTGAAATACTCTTTCCTCAATCTTGGCAGGCTGCCTCTTTATCATTCAGATCTCTAGGCTTAAATATCACATCTTGATGAAGTGCTTTCCTGAACCTCCAGATAAATCTGCCTTTCTTTTTTTTTTTTAAGATAATATTGGTAATATTGGTTTACAACACTGTATGTAAAGAGGCATAGCATCCCATCTCCTCAGATGCCTGTCCTCACACCACACTCAACATCAAAGCTCCCATAGTCCTTCACTCTAGTCTATTGTGTCCCCTTCCACTACTGTGATTCTACCCTCCTCTTTTGCAGCCTTGATTCTATAGACATTTTTCTAGGATTTGTTTCACCTAATCCTTTTGTTTTGTTTCTCTATATTCCAAATATATGTGTGAAACCATCTGGTATTTGTCTTTCTTCTTCTGACTTCTTTCCCTTTTCATTCTCCCCTCCACATCATCACATAGGGCAAGAGTTCATCTTTGTTATGTCTACATAGTATTCCATTGTGTATATGTATCACATTTTGCTAATCTACTCATCTTCCCCTGGGCACTTGAATTGTTTCTGTAACTTGGCTATTGTAAATAGTTGCAATGAATATTGGAGTGTATACATTCCTTCAAATTAGTATTTTTGCATTCTTTGGGTAAATACCTAGGAGTATATTTGGTGTAACTGGTGGATCACATGGTAGATCTGTTTTCCATAGCGTTACAGACTTACAAATCTTCCGTTCTAATTACCATCTCCTACAGTATTTATTCAATCTTCCTCACAGCACTTCCCAAGTTAGCTCATCTGTCTTATTTACATACTTATTGTCTACTTCTCCTTAGCAGAGTACAAACTGCTTTAAAATATGAAACACTTATTTTCCATAAGCTCTGGTACATAGTGGTACTAAACAGATATATGCCGGCTGACTGAGGGATCCATTCCATTTGTTTTTTCTCACACCTGTACCAGATTGCCTTTTAGTTTTCTTTTCTGAAGACTTTCACCTATGCCCTAAAGAGGCAAACCAACAACCTAGGAACACCCGGAAAGTGAGCCAAGGCAGTGACAGCTTACAGGTCGGATGGGCCTTTCATTTTTTTCTCTTTCATAGCACAGACCCTCTATCTTCATCCTTGGATGGGCAAGGTCTATAGTTCTTGGAGTTGCAATAGCATTCAGGGTAGAAAACGGAATCTTGGTGTCAATCTAGGAAGAAAACATAATAGTACCAATAAATATCAAATAATAAGCTATGTTTAAATCAAGTTACAAAGTATGGTCTGACTTTGAACCAGACTTCTCAGATCTGGTTCAGAAAGGAAGAGAATCATGGAGTAACCCATGATCATAGCTGAAAGTATCAATTTCCATTCTTTTCAAACAAGCTTGTATGGATTTCTACCCAGTTTTTCAGGAACTCATTATTAAACCAAAGATGAGGAGGAACTGGAAATGGCACACACTGGCCAAGAGATAAATGGTAATGCAGATTTATGGAGTAATAAACTCAGCCAAGAGTGAAGGCTGGCTTAGCCCTACCACATGTGAACACAGGAAGAGGGAGAGCTCTGCTTTGATCTTAACTATTTTTTCCCTTTGGAAGTTGGAACTCACATTATCATAAATCACTGTGCTAAAAGTGAATTTAGGCCCTCCCTTGTGGTGCAGCGGGTTAAAGCACAGCACTAAGAAGCTTAAGCCACTTACGCATGAGTTCGATTCCCGCCTCTCCCGGAGGTGACCACAGGGCGCAGCAGACCTCTCCTGACCCACCCGCTGCTCCCCTCAGCAGTGTACTTCGTCCATCTGCCTGTTCTGCTCCCCACTCTGTCTCTAGTGAATCCTCTCACCCTTTGCATCTCTGGCCTGTACCCCAGTTCTATATGAATAAATAAATCTTTTTAAAAAAGTGAATTTAAATGGCTCTCTTCTAACTGGAACAGATAAGAAAAGAAAAACAAACCAAGAAGAAAGCCAGAACCATTTATGTCCATACCCAATGCTTCCTGATTCCTCCAGTTAGCCCACACTCTTAGTTGTGGTAATGTATTCAAATTGCATGGTCTTCTATTTAAATCACTGTATTCAAACTCAAAACTTACCACAATAGATTAAGGAGAAATATAATTCATAATTGCAAATAAACAAATAATGAAATAAATAAAATTGGTTTTAACTGTGGGTGGAGAAACAATAGACAAGGTATATTCCAAATCCCCTTCTGCATAATTTAAAACAAATGCTGATACTAACACTGGCGGTATTTACATGTATTAATTCATTTATTCCTCACCTGGGGTATCATTTTTATTTCTGTTTCACTAATGGAGAACCCAAGGCACTACGAAATTCAATCATGTAGTTAAGTTTGCATAATTAACAAGCAGCAGATGGCTGGTATGTGTCTGTATAACACCATGAAATAATAATTAAGCATTTTAAGCATTTCTGTAAATGAAGCTTTGTATCTTTTTTTGCTGGAAAAAGTGAAAGAAATATATGACAATCATTGCTTTCAAGTAAGGCTTTTGAAAAGGAAATAAATAAGTATTCATTAATTCATTAGACAAATAATATGTAAACAATTATATTATGAAAAAACAACAAGAGAAAAAATCAAAGCCCTTTACTTCAAAGCAACTGTCAACCTTGAGAAACTATAGGTCTATGAGTAAATTATTCAGATTATTTGATAACTATAAAAGAGAAGAAAGTATTGAGAGATTAGAAGGAGAGCGAAGTACAAGAAGGATTTTCTTTATCTCCTTTATAAGAGACACTAGGTTGGCCTTGAAGGATGGATCAGATTTATGACAAGCAGAGGGACAAGAAAAGTAGGGAGGATAAAGGAAAGATGATGAGAGGGAAAGTTATAATACTTTAAGTAAAATGGTAATCACACAAGAATAAGTCAACGTAGCTAGACAGAGGATTCAGAAATATGATCTAAGACAGCTCTGCTCAATTTCTTGGTCTAGGACCTCTTTACACTCTGAAAAGTGACTGAGAATTTCCAATATTGAGGAATTTTTTTAATGTACTATTCCATCTAAAGACAGCAACAACAAATTATTATTAACAATATAAATAATTCATGATACATAACTATATTTCCCATAAAATAAAAAATTGTGAGAAGACTGATTTTACATTTTACAAATATCTTTAATGTTTGGCTTAGTAGGATACTGTTGCTTTTTGTGCGGTATATGAAGAAAATCCAACCTCACACAGATATGTAGTAGAAAAAGATAAGAATCTTTACAACCATGAAAGATGTTCTTTCTGATACTACAATAAAATTTGACAAATGGTAGTTTCTTTAATGTTAGTTACAATCTACAACCTGAAATGATGCCAATGACCTTTTCACACTCCATTGCCTAAAAATTTATTGGTTTATTTTGCACATTGAATGGACCTTTTATTCCTACTGGATTTTGATTACTTGTGGGGGGGTCTGGAGAATCTGGACAACAGTATAGGAAAATGTTGCCCTATTGTAAATAATACCATGGTATGTGATAATGATAGCAGTAAACTTATAAAGTAAACAAATAAGGTTCGGGACAATGGAGAAAGAACACCAGATCCTAACCACTCGACCAGGGAATCCTTGGCAATGGGAAGGAAGATTTTATTTTTAAGAATATTTTATTTTTATATCATTTTGTGCCTTTTTCCATCTCAGTTGTAACCCCTGTGGAGTTCCCATCACCAAATCACCCATGAGCCATCACCACAATCCAGTGCACTTCCCCCCACCAACACCCCCCATTTTTGATCCCATTTCCCACTCCACCCTGGTTAAAATGTCTCTGGTATATAGTTGTTCATCATTATTATTATGTTCTCCCCTGGTCCTTTATATTCCTGCTATGAGTGAGACCATCCGGCATTTTTCCTTTTCTTTCTGGCTTATTTCACTAAGTATGATCGGAAAGGAAGATTTTTAGCCCATATTGTATATAAAAGCATTCTTCAAATGTAATAAGGAATTAATTCTTTTAAAACTAGGACCTCCCTGGTGGCATATCAGGTTAAAGTGCAGCATTGCAAGCAAGCCAAAGCCATTTCAGTGTGACTTCAATTCTCGGCCAGGGAGGTGACCCACATGGCACAGCAGACCTCTCCCGAATCGGCTGCTGCTCCCCTCAGCAGTGTACTTCGTCACTCTGCCTGTTCTGCTCCCCACTCTGTCTCTGGTAAAGCCTTTCAGTTCTGTACACCTAAATAAATAAATCTTTTTTTCAATTATTTTAAAAAGAAAAAGGAATCATAAAAATACTACAAGAAGATAGGTGTCAGTGCTATGCTAGTAAATGTTAAATAACTAGCTCTTCACAGAGGGAAAAAAGGGCTTGTCAGTTTCTATGGCATAAAGATTCCCACTGTGACCAGCTTCAAACCACCAAAGTGATGTCGCTAACTATGAAGCTGGGCAGACACAGGCACCATCAGCCAGTACTGGGACACACTGAGGGTCATTTGTAATTTCTCCTTGGAACAACATTTACCAAACATAAAGCTACAGGGAAAGAATTCAAGGGAAAAAGTTTAGTAGATTTTACTAACATCTGAAAGGTTAGTTTTAACACCTTAAATGATCCCAGAGTAACAAAATTAAAAGGCAAGTTAGGGGCTTCTGCTCCCAGCGACAGCACAGCAGCTTGTATTGAACTCATCCTCTTGTTGAGGACAGTTATGGACTCCAAACAAAATATATTTTTTAAAAAAAGAAACTCTTTGCAGGCACTGGAGAACAGTTAAGGGCAAGCAGAAACTAGAGACTATATGGCCCTTGAAAGAAGAAAAAGAGTTCTTCCTGTTTCTTCATGAGGAACTGGGAGAACAAAGCAAGGCAGGAGCCTGGGCTGGGTGTGAAGGGAAAAGGCACAGTGGCCTCAGCAGGGAGGAAGGGCCAGGACAAGAGAAGGGCCACCCACAGAGGAGGGTTGGAGAGACTAGACATTAATCTGTAGTGACAGGAACCTAAAGCTAGCTGACTCTAGAAAAGGGAGTAGAGTGGGAAGTCACTAGAAAGAGTTATAAGAAACATTTTTGGAATAATGTTTTATGCCTTGACTGGGGTGATTATTAAATGGGTATATACACTTGCTAATATCTTATTAAACGTTAATAAATTTACACTTACAAGCTAATAAGCATTTTATATCAATTAAGGCTCAAATTTTTTAAGTTATAAGCTGGGAAAATAGTAGCAATGTACATAACAAGAGTTAATATTGGTAATGTGGAAATAACTGATACATCAGTACAAGAATACAAACTAGTAGAAAAATGAAGCCATAAATAAGACAAATTTACAAAAGAAAAACCCTTATGATAAATAAATGTGGGGAATGATTTGAATTTATTAGTTTCTCAGAGAAGAGTTTATTAGTTTCTCAGGGCAATAAAAATGTACAGTTGAGGGCCCTCCCTGGTGGCGCAGCAGGTTAAAGCACAGCACTAAGACGCTAAAGCCACTTCCGCATGAGT